CACAATATTCCAGATGTGGTCTAACCAAAGCAGAATAGAGCATGGGGAGCATGACTTCCCTAGATCTAGACACTATGCTCCTCTTGATGCAGGCCAAAATCCCATTGGCTTTTTTTGCCGCCACATCACATTCCTGGCTCATGTTTAACTTGTTGTCCACGAGGACTCCAAGATCTTTTTCACACGTAATGCTCTCGAGCCAGGCATTGTCCCCATTCTGTATCTTTGCATTTCGTTTTTTCTGCCAAAGTGGAGTATCTTGCATTTGTCACTGTTGAACTTCATTTTGTTAGTTTTGGCCCATTCATCTCTCTAATCTGTCCAGATCCCTTTGAGTCCTGCTCCTGTCCTCTGGAGTCTTGGCTATCCCTCCCAATTTGGTCCCGTCTGCAAACTTGATGATCCTGCCTTCTCGCCCTTCATCTCAGTCATTAATAAAGACGTTGAACAGGACCGGGCCCAGGACGGAACCCTGCAATGGCACTCCACATTTGATTTGGAAACTGGGTTGCCTTTCTCATCTGCGCCAAAATCTTTACTGGAAAACAGGAACAAATCTGGGTAGAGTTCACACTTTCCGGAGATTTTGTTTTGAAAGCCATGGAACTGGAAGTGATGGACAGTTTTCTAATCATCCGCCCGACTCAATCAAAGCCGGTCTCCTCTGGGAAATGCAAAATGAGCTTCTCGCCACCAAAGTCAATAAATCAAAGCTCAGCCGCTTGCACAAAACACTTCTCCTTTGCGCAGGCATTCGAAGCCGGAGGAAAGGACGTTAATAAATACAATGGTGCGAAGAGGAGCTCTTGCAATCCGTTCCTGCCAGCGGATTTCGTGACGAATTAATAGACGAGGAGCTGGTGTGACATCGTGGTTGGGTAAAATCACTCCACTCCGGCAACAATTCCATCAGCCTTGTCTCTGAAAAATCCTGCAAATCTCCTGGGAAATGTCAGCATGCTGGAAGAAGCAAAGACCACCAGCACTGAAGCCATGCTCCTATAACATCAACTCCACTGGACCGGTCACGTTGTCCGAATGCCCAAAGAGCACCATCTCCAAAGCAGTTACTCTACTCCCAACTCAAGAACGGAAAACGTAATGTTGGTGGGCAGGAAAAAAGATTTAGATGGGATAAAAGTCAATCTTAAAAACTGTGGCCTAGACACTGAGAACTGGGAACTCTTGAGCAGTCTAACTAGAGGTCAGCTGTGACCAGCAGTGCTGCGGAATTTGAAGAGGCACAACTGGAGGGAGAAACATGCCAAGAGGAAGGCGCATCAAGCCAACCCTAACTGGGGACCGCCTTCCACCTGGAAACCGATGTCCTCACTGCGGGAGAAGATGCAGATCAGGAATAGGGCTCCACAGCCACCACAGCCACCTACCTTCACTTCACTTCACTTCACTTCACTTTATTTCTTAATGAGTCGCTCTCCCTCAAGGTGCTCCGAGCGACTTACAGTCTATAATAGCATTTACACAATACAAAAACATTCCACATAAAAACATTCAGCAGTGACTATTTGGCAAATTAGATCCGATGACTTCAATGCACAACCAAGCAGCCAAGTCTTGAGCGCCTTTGCAAAAGGTCGCAACTCCGACCTTGCTCTAACGTATGGAGGCCAAGAGTTCCACAGGATTGGAGCATTGGTCGAAAAAGCTCTACTACGCCTTGTAGCTTCCAGGTGTGTCTCCCTCCCTCAGGCCCAGGATGTAGAGGAGATTTTCCTGGGTGGATCGAGGTGACCACGGATGGGGAAAAGGAATGAGGCGGTCCCTAAGATATAAAGGTCCTTGGCCATTTTGAGCTCTCAATGTCAGGATCAGGATCTTGTAAGAGATCCGATGTTCTCTTGGTAGCCAATGCAGTTGTTGCAGAATCAGTGTGATATGGGATCTTAGAGATGATCCCGCTAGCAGCCTGGCCACCGCATTTTGGACCATCCGAATCTCCTGGGTTGTTGACTTTGGAAGGCCAGCATAGAAGGCGTTGCAATAGTCCAACCTGGTGGTGACTGTGGCGTGGATGACCGTTGCCAGTGCTTCTACCGAAAGGTCGGATGCCAATTTCCTTGCCTGGCGAAGATGAGAAAAGGCCTGCTTCCTTCTGGCCGTGACCTGGGCCTCCATCATCAGTGATGAGTCCAACACAACCCCTTTGAGGCTTTGAACAGGGGCAGGCGGAACCAGAGCTTCCCCATCGAAATCAGGCAGAGACTGGGTTAATTCTGGCGGCTGGCCAGGCCAGAGGATCTCCGTTTTTGCAGGATTCCCTTTGAGTCTGCTCGCTCGCAGCCAACTCCTCACTGCTTCCAAACACAGCCTCAAGTTCTCAGGAATCGCGGTGGTTGTCCCAGGTTCGAGACGCAAGCGTAGCTGGGTATCATCTGCATACGGGTAGCACTCTCTGCCAAAGCTCCGCTCCAGTCCAGCAAGTGACCGGACGTAGATGTTGAATAACAGGGGCGAGAGGAGGATGGCACCCTGGGGAACTCACTCCACAGCCAAGGCAGGAGCTCTCAGAGCTTTGCCCTCACCACTCCACCCTCTGTCTCTGGTCCTGGAGGAACGCATTGAACCATTTGAGGGCTAAACCTCCTCGTACACCAGACAGAGCCAATCGAGGAATCAGCAAGTCATGGTCCACGGTGTCAAATGCAGCTGTGAGGTCCAAGAGGACCAATGGCGCTGATCCGCCTCGGTCTAACTGACGACGAATTTGGTCAGTAATCGCTAGCAAGACAGTCTCTGTCCCATGACCTGAACGAAAGCCTGATTGGAAGGGGTCCAAACCCGCAGTCTCATCTAAGAATGGCTGTAGCTGCCCCGCCACTGTCCATTCAATCACCTTGCCCAAAAATGGAAGGTTTGAAACTGGGCAATAGTTACGAGGGATGGTGGCGTCGAGGCTTGGCTCTTTCAAGAGAGGGTGGACCACTGCTTCTTTAAGGCCATCTGGAAAAATTCCTTGCTCCAAGGAACTGTTGATGGTGCTCCTTAAGGGATCTCGCAGTCCCTCCCAGCACTCCTTAACCAACCTGGAGGGGCAAGGATCGAGGGAGCCCAGGACGCAAGGGAGGAATGGCTTCAAACTCCAAGAGAGGAGATTCCACCTGAACATGAAGAAGAACTTCCTGACTGTGGGAGCCGTTCAGCAGTGGAACTCTCTGCCTTCCCCGGAGGGAGTGTGGTGGAGGCTCCTCCTTTGGAAGCTTTGAAACAGAGGCTGGATGGCCATCTGTCAGGGGTGATTTGAATGCAATTCTCCTGCTTCTTGGCAGAATGGGGTTGGACTGGATGATGGCCCAGGAGGTCTCTTCCAACTCTTTCATTCTATGATTCTATGAACTGACCTTTGTAACTCCTCAACAGATGGCCGTACTGGGATGCGGCAAATACTGGCTTGTTCAGTAGACTCTCCTCTACAGTTCCATTTAGCAGGAAGCCTTAGCATTGAATGGACCTTTGTAACCCCTCAACAGATAGTAGAACTGGTATGTGGTGGATACTGGCTTGTTCAGTAGACTCTCCTCTACAGTTCCATTTGGTGAGAAGCCTTAGCATTGAACGGACCTTCGTAACTCCTCAACAGATGGCAGTACTGGTATGGGCCGGAACCATATAGGGCAGTGGTTCTCAACCTGAGGGTCGCAACCCCCAGGGGGGTCGCTTGGCCATTTTGGAGGGGTCGTGAGGCCACCTCCTTTGGCACTGCCCCCCTCCTCAAAATGGCTCCCCTCAGGGCCTTGGTCACCCGGCTCAAACCCCCCAAGCCAGGCGACCCATGTCTGTGGAATTCAGAGCTGAATCATTTGAAGAGCCCATCATCCATTGTCCAACCTCCCCAAAACATATTGTTTCTGTGATTAATCACTATGCCTTAATTATGTTCAGTTTGTAACAATAAAAATACATTTACATTACATAGAATCCTAGAATCCTAGAGTTGGAAGAGACCTCCTGGGCCATCATCCAGTCCAACCCCATTCTGCCAAGAAGCAGGAATATTGCATTCAAATCACCCCGACAGATGGCCATCCAGCCTCTGTTGAAAAGCTTCCAAAGAAGGAGCGTCCACCACACTCCCTCCGGGGCAGAGAGTTCCACTGCTGAACGTCTCTCACAGTCAGGAAGTTCTTCCTCATGTTCAGATGGAATCTCCTCTCTTGTAGTTTGAAGTTACGATCCATAACAGTAGAAAATTTACAGTTCTAAAGTAGCAACGAAAATAATTTTATGGTTGGGGGTCACCACAACATGAGGAACTCTATTAGAAAGGTTGAGAACCACTGATATAGGGTTTTATAGTTCAAGACCAGCACTTTGAAATGTGCTTGGAACTGGACCGGCAGCCAGTGGAGCTTTCATAGCAGGGGGGTGGTATGTTCCCCGTATGATGCTCCAGTGAGTAGTCTAGCTGCCGCCCCTTGGAGTTACCAAACAGTCTTCAAAGGCAACCCCATGTAAAGCGTGTTGCAGTAGTCTAGCTAAGTAACAGTGGAGGCATTACTTTTCATTCAACCCTCGTATTAAGGAGTTGCGGCATTAGGAAGGTTGAGGACCACTGTTCTTGACGTTCATCCAAGTAATTAATAACAATGTTGAAGAGTGCAATGTGGTCACCCCTCCGTCTTCTCTTGACCAAGGTGGACTTGTTCCATCCGTTCCACCTTTCCTCATGCGTTTTGCTCCCCGGACCTCTCATCATCCTTCTCTGAACATGGACCCAAAATGAAGACATCAGAACTTCGGATGAGGCCATCAAAACCCAACTGGTGATAGAAACCCATCATCCTTGACTATTCTCCAAGAATGCAAGAACGTTCGAGATGTTTTATGGAAGGCTTACCTGACCAGGTTGTATCATTTCACACCTGCGTGGTGTTAGCGTTCCCTATTCTTTCTGCCTCTGGCACCAAATCTCCAGTTCTAGACATACCTCCGGTTCTAGGTCCTCCGCGCCCGCAGACACGAGCGGGAGTCTGTTTCCTCACCTGTCGAAGTAGGTTCTCCAATCAGCAGCAAAGCGGCGCAGGCGCAGACGGCAAAGTGGAGGACTTTCTCCATCGGTGACGCTGTCAGAGCAAAATGCAAAAGAGAATGGTTAGGAATATGTTGATTTGGCGTGGAGCAGTGATGACATGTTCCCTGACTATGCCACGGATTACACCACGTAATTGCTATTCCTGGGTTATCGGTGTCATTTCCTAATGGGTTTTCTTATCAAGTTGATTAAACTGCCAAAAAAAGTGTTGTCGAAGGCTTTCATGGCCGGAATCACTGGATTGCTGTGAGTTTTCTGGGTTGCCTGTCCATGTTTCAGTAGCATTCTCTCCTGACGTTTCACCCACATCGTTGGCAGGCATCCTCAGAGGTTGTGAGGTCTGTTGGAAGCAAGGCAAGTGGGGTTTATATATCTGTGGAAAGAAATAACGCTTATCTGGGTTGCTGTGAGTTTTCCAGGTTGTCTGACCATGTTCCAGAAGCATTCTCTCCTGACGTTTCGCCCACATCTATGGCAGGCATCCTCAGAGGTTGTGAAGCCTTTGGAAACTGGGCAAATGGGGTTTATATATCTGTGGAAAGAAATAACTCTTATCTGGGTTGCTGTGAGTTTCCCAGGTTGTCTGACCATGTTTCAGTAGCATTCTCTCCTGACGTTTCGCCCACATCTATGGCCAGGCATCCTCAGTGGTTGTGAGGTCTGTTGGAAGCAAAGCAAGTGGGGTTTATCTATCTGTGGAATAATGTCCAGTGTGGGAGAAAGAACTCTTGTCTGCATGAGACAAGTATGACTGTTGCAATTGGCCAGCTTACTTAACATTGAATAGCCTTGCAGCTTCAAAGCCTGACTGCTTCCTGCCTGGGGGAATCCTTTGTTGGGAGGTATTAGCTGGCCCTGGAGCCCCCCCCCCCCCGGTGGCACAGTGGGTTAAACCCTTGTTCCAGCAGGACTGAAGACCGAGAGGTCACAGGTTTGAATCCAGGGAGAGCGCGGATGAGCTTCCTCTATCAGCTCCAGCTCCTCATGTGGGGTCATATGAGAAGCCTCCCATAAGGATGATAAAACATCAAAAACATCCGGACATCCCTTGGGCAATGTCCTTGCACACGGCCAATTCTCTCACACCAGGAGCGACTTGCAGCTTCTCAAGTTGCTCCTGACATGACCAAAAGAAAAAAAGAAAAAAAAGCTGGCCCTGATTGTTTCCTGTCTGTTCTTCCCCTGTTTTCTGAGTGTTGTTCTTTATTTAGCTAGCTAACACCTCCCAACAAAGGATTCCCCCAGGCAGGACGCAGCCAGGCTTTGAAGCTACAAGGTTAGTCAATGCTAATCAAGCTGGTCAGTTGCAACATTCACACACACAAGTTCTTTCTCCCAGCTTGGACATTATTCCACAGATATATAGATCCTACTTGCCTAGTTTCCAACAGACCTGCTATAGATGTGGGCCTAACAGCGGGAGCTCACCTCGATCCCTGGATTTGAACCGCTGACCTTTCGGTCAGCAAGTTCAGCAGCTCAGCGGTTTAACCTACTGCACCACCGATCTGTATACCTAATTCCCTTGCTTTGGTTTCAACTCAAGCCCAGCACTATAATTCCTTTCACATTTCCACTCGTCTCTCTTTCCTTTAGAGTTTTAAGAGCTTCCCCACAATTCAGGGAAGGAAGGCATGCCTTGTTCTGGCCTGGGCTGCAAAATTAGAGGCCAGAAAGAGGCCAGGGTGGAATGTGTCCAGAGGAGGGCGACTAAAATGATCAAGGGTCTGGAGAACAAGCCCTATGAGGAGCGGCCTAAGGAGCTGGGCATGTTTAGCCTGAAGAAGAGAAGGCTGAGAGGAGACATGAGGAGGGCCATGTCTAAATATGTGAGAGGAAGCCACAGGGAGGAGGGAGCAGATCAAGGGTCTGGAGAACAAGCCCTATGAGGAGCGGCTTAGGGAACTGGGCATGTTTAGCCTGAAGAGTTTTAAACTCCTTTAGAGTTTTAAGAACTTCCCCACAATTCAGGGAAGGAAGACATGCCTTGTTCTGGCCTGGGCTCTTATAATAATACAGTCATTGAGTTGGAAGGAACCCCAAGGGCCATCCAGTCCAACCCCTTTCTGCCACGCAGGAACACAACAGCAATTTGAATCCGTTGGCAATGACACTCCATGCAGTCATGCTGGCCACATGATCTAGGAGTTGTCTATGGACAACACATAATACACATATTGGAAAATATATATTCGATGTAACCATATTAGAAATAGGAATTAGAAAACATATATGAAATCACAAAGGGATACGTAGGCAGGAACATTCCCTTGGAAAGAGATGCTCTTCCTAAAAGCTGCAAAATTAGGGCCCAGGGTCTAGGAAAGGAATGCCTAAGGCACCTGGCAAATATCCAGACCCGTACCAAGCAGGGCTTATTGTAAGATTAATGAGCCTTGCCATCAAGAGCCTTCTTCAGGAGGGACTTATCTCAAGATGGATGGAAGCTCTTGCTATCAGTAGCCCGTAGTAGGCAGACACTCTGGCACTATGGGTTACGGGATGGCCCACTAATAGCAGCTCTTTAGATAAAGGTGCTTAATGGAAGATTAAAGGTGTTGAAGTTAAAATATGCTATTGGAGTCATTGTAAAAGGGGAATTTTTTGATGCACATTGTGATGCTTTTGTGATGCATGCATATTATTTTAAAGGATATATAAACCGAGGCAATTCTTTTGTTCAGCACCCTGTTTTCTGGAATACCAGCAGGGTCAGTTGGCACCAACTGAGACTAAACCGTGCTTTTACAGACCTCAGGAATCTCTTTTGTCTCTTTATGTTTTATTTATTTATTACATATATATTTCTATCCCGCCCATATATTTCTATCCTGCCCCCTAGGAGCTGGGGCTAACAATGGGAGCTCACCACGTCCCACGAATTTGAACCACCAACCTTTCGGACAGCAAGTTCTGCTGCACAGATTTAACCCATTTAGCTCTTGAAACTGCTGACCTAAAGGTTGGCAGTTTGAAACTGTGGGTTGGGGTGAGCTCCTGCTGTTAGCCCTAGCTCCTGCCTACCTAGCAGTTCGGAAATAAAGTAGATCAATAGGTACCGCTTTGGTGGGAACGTAATAAAGGCAGCCATGCCGGCACCACCATGACTCAATCTCCAATTCCTTAAGCTTCTCCTCGTCAGGATTCATAGTTTCCAGTCCTTTGACCATTTCGGTCATCCTTCCCTGGACACCTTCCATTGTGTCCATCTCCTCCTTGAATTGTTTTGCCCAGAACTGGACGCTGGATTAGTCTAGGTGGAAAGGTCTGACCAAAGCAGAAGAGAGGGGGACTATGACTTCCCTCGATCGCAACAATATCCTCCTCAACTTAGAATTGCATTGGCTTTTGTAGCTGCTGCATCACAATGTTAACTCACGTTCAGCTTGTGGGCGCCTAAGACCGCTTTCCCATGGACTGTTTTCCAGCGAGGGCTCACCCATCCAATATCTGTGCATTTAATTTTTATTGCCAAAGTGTAGCACTCTGCAGGGGTCGTGGTGGCACAGCAAGTTAAACCACTGAGTTGCTGAACTTGGCGGCAGTTTGAATCCATGAGACAGGGTGAGCTCCCATTGACAGCCCTAGCTCCTGCCAACCCAGCAGTTCAAAAAAATGTAAATGTGGGGAGATCAATAGGTACCGCTTCTGCGGGAAGGTAACGGCACTCCATGCAGTCATGCTGGCCACATGATCTTGCAGGTGTCTACGGACAACGCCAGCTCTTTGGCTTAGAAATGGAGATGAGCAGCAACCTGCAGAGTCGGACACGGCTGGACTTAATGTCGAGGGGAAACCTTTACCTATACAGATTGGTAAAACATATTGCAAGTCTTTCAAATCATTATGAGCAGTTTTAAGGTGTGGCGTCTTACTGCCTGGGGGAATCCTTTGTTGGGAGGTGATTAGCTGCCCCTGATTGTTTCTTGTCTGGAATTCCCCTGTTTCTTCTTGATTCACTGTCCTGATGTTGGAGTTTTTTAAATACTAGTAGCCAGATTTTGTTCATTTTTAGATTTTCCTCCTTTCTGTTGGCATTGTCCACATGATTCTTGTGGATTTCAATGGCTTCTCCGTGTAGTCCGACACGGTAGTTGTTAGCGTGGTCCAGCATTTCTGTGTTCTCAAATAATATGCTGCGTCCAGGTTGGTTCATCAAGTGTTCTGCTATAGCTGACTTCTCTGGATGAAGTAGTCTGACTACTTCTCAGAACACATGAATGCTGGATCACTCTCACAACAATACTACTACTACTACTACTACTACTAATAATAATAATAATAATAAACTTTATTTATATACTGTTCGAAATGCTCCAAAGTATATTATTATTATTATTATTATTATTATTATTATTATTATTATTACTACTACTACTACTACAACAACAACAGTAATCTTTATTTATATACCGCTCTATCTCCCCATACACCAGCATTTGCAAAGCATGCTAAACAGGCTGATTTCCCCTTTTTATGAAGTACAGCCGAAGCATCTTCTGCAAAGTCCACTGCAAATATTAGGCATGGGCAATCCGTGGTTCTAAATGCTTCTAAAGTAAATAATAATAATAACAATCTTTATTTATATGCCGCTCTATCTCCCCATACACCAGCATTTGCAAGGCTTGCTAAACAGGCTGATTTCCCCTTTTTATGAAGTACAGCCGGAGCATCTTCTGCAAAGTCCACTATAAATATTAGGCATTGGCAATCCATGGTTCTAAATGCTTCCAAAGTACATAATAATAATAATAATAATAATAATAATAATAATAATCTTTATTTATATGCCGCTCTATCTCCTCACACACCAGCATTTGCAAGGCTTGCTAAACAAGCAGATTCCCCCTTTTTATGAAGTACAGCTGGAGCATCTTCTGCAAAATCCACTGTAAACATTAGCCATGGGCAATCCATGGTTCTAAATGCTTCTTAAGTACTTAATAATAATAATAATAATAATAATAATAATAATAATAATACTTTTTAATATACCGCTCTATCACCCCGAGGGGGACTCAGGGCGGTTTCCAAGTAACATCACCAAAACATACAAAGTAAACAGCATGACATAAAATTAACTAAACAACATAAGCATAAAATTATCACAATAACACATTTATATATTAAAAAATAATCCTGCCTGTCAGACTACACACAGAGAAGCCACTGAAATCCACAAGAAGGGGGACAGTTTCAACAGAAAGGAGGAAACCATGAAAAAGAACAACACTCAAAAACAGGGGAAATCCAGACATGAAACAATCAGGGCCAGCTAATCATCTCCCAACAAAGGCAGTAAGAAGCCACCCCCTGAAACTGCTGGGCCATTAAATGCTAACCAAGGTGGCCAATTGAAACATTCACATCTACCTAAACAGACAAGAGTTCTTTCTCCCACCCTGGACATTATTTCACAGGTATATAAACCCCAAAAGACCTCATAACCTCTGAGGATGCCTGCCATAGATGCAGGCGAAACGTCAGGAGAGAATGCTTTACAGCCCAGAATTGTCTTCCCTTTGTCCATGTGGATGAACTCCTTCAGAAACTCATGAAGTCAGAGTACACCCCAAACATTTTCTCTCTCTGCTTCTCTCTTCAAACTGTCTCGCTCTGCACCCGGATAGCTGAAGCCTGAACAAAAATGTAACAGCATCCAAAAGTCTGAGGCTCAGCCTGCTCCCCAGGCATTGCCCAACTACAATGGGAGAACTTGAGGCAAGCACACTTTGGGCTGGTCCTGCATTGTCTGCTTTCCGACAACCAGAATAACCCAACAGAAAAGACAGTAGGTTGTTGTGAGTTTTCCGGGCTGTCTGGCCATGTTCCAGAAGCATTCTCTCCTGACATTTCACCTGCATCTATGGCAGGCATCCTCAGAAGTCGTGAGGTCTGTTGGAAACTTGGCAAATGGGGTTTATGTGTCTGTGGAATAATGCCCAGGGTGGGAGAAAGAACTCTTGTGTGTGGATGTTGCAACTGTCCAGCTTGATTAGCATTGACTAGCCTTGTAGCTTCAAAGCCTGGCTGCTTCCTGCCTAGGGGGATCCTTTGTTGGGAGGTGTTAGCTTGCTAAATAAAGAACAACACTTAGAAAACAGGGGAATTCCAGACAGGAAACAATCAGGGCCAGTTAAGAGGTCCCAACAAAGGATTCCCCCCAGGTAGGAAGCAGCCAGGCTTTGAAGCTGCAAGGCTATTAAATTGCTAGTTGCCTCAGACACACAAGAGTTCTTTCTCTCACCCTAGACATCCCACAGATAAATAAACCCCTTGCCTAGTTTCCAGGGCCAGCTAATACCTCCCAACAAAGGATTCCCCCAGCAGGAAGCAGTCAGGCTTTGACGCTGCAAGGCTATTGAATGGCTAGTTGCCTTAAACAGACAAGAGTTCTTTCTCTCACCCTAGACATCCCACAGATAAATAAACCCCACTTGCCTAGTTTCCAGGGCCAGCTAATACCTCCCAACAAAGGATTCCCCCAGGCAGGAAGCAGTCAGGCTTTGACGCTGCAAGGCTATTGAATGGCTAGTTGCCTTAAACAGACAAGAGTTCTTTCTCTCACCCTAGACATCCCACAGATAAATAAACCCCACTTGCCTAGTTTCCAGGGCCAGCTAATACCTCCCAACAAAGGATTCCCCCAGCCAGGAAGCAGTCAGGCTTTGACGCTGCAAGGCTATTGAATGGCTAGTTGCCTTAAACAGACAAGAGTTCTTTCTCTCACCCTAGACATCCCACAGATAAATAAACCCCACTTGCCTAGTTTCCAGGGCCAGCTAATACCTCCCAACAAAGGATTCCCCCAGCCAGGAAGCAGCCAGGCTTTGAAGCTGCAAGGCTATTCAATGTTAAGCTGGCCAATTGCAACAGTCACACCTGCCTCAAGCCGACAAGGGTTCTTTCTCCCACCCTGGACATTATTCCACAGATAGGTAAACCTCATTTTCCTAGTTTCCAACACCTCACAACCTCAGACAATGCTTGCCATAGAATGTGGGCAAAACATCAGGAGAGAATGCTTCTGAAACATGGAAAACTCACAACAACCCAGATAGGACTTATTTCTTTTTCAACAGATATATAAACCCCACTTGCCCAGTTTCCAAAAACTCCCCAACCTCTGAGGATGCCTGGCCATAGATGTGGGTGAAACTTCAGGAGAGAATGCTACTGAAACATGGTCAGACAACCTGGAAAACTCACAGCAACCCAGGTAGGAGTTATTTCTTTTTCCACAGATATATAAACCCCACTTGCCCATTTTCCAAAGGCTTCCCAACCTCTGAGAATGCTTGCTATAGAATGTGGGCGAAACGTCAGGAGAGAATGCTACTGAAGCATGGTCAGACAACCCGGAAAACTCGCAGCAACCCAGACAGGAGTTATTTCTTTTTTGACAGATATATAAACCCCACTTGCTCATTATTCCACAGATAGGTAAACCTCATTTTCCTAGTTTCCAACACCACACAACCTCTGAGAACGCTTGCCATAGAATGTGGGCGAAATGTCAGGAGGGAATGCTTCTGAAGCGTGGAAAACTCATAACAACCCAGATAGGAGTTATTATTTCTTTTTCCGCAGATATATAAACTCCACTTGCCCAGTTTCCAACAGACTTCCCAACCTCTGAGGATGCTTGCTATAGATATGGGCAAAATGTCAGGAGAGAATGCTTCTGAAACATGGAAAACTCACAACAACCCAGAGAGAAATTATTTATTTTTCCACAGATATATAAACTCCACTTGCCCAGTTTCCAACAGACTTCCCATCCTCTGAGAATGCTTGCTATAGATGCAGGCGAAATGTCAAGAAAGAATGCTTATGAAACATGGAAAACTCACAACAACCCAGAGAGAAATTATTTCTTTTTCCACAGATATATAAACCCCACTTGCCCATAAGTTATTTCTTTTTCCACAGATATATAAACCCCACTTGCCCAGTTTCCAACAGACTTCCCAACCTCTGAGGATGCCTGGCCATATTATGTGGGCGAAACGTCAGGAGAGAATGCTTCTGAAACATGGAAAGCTAGCAACAACCCAGATAGGAGTTATTTCTTTTTCCACAGATATATAAACTCCACTTGCCCAGTTTCCAACAGACTTCACAGCTTATGAGGATGCTTGCCATAGATGTGGGTGAAACGTCAGGAGAGAATGCTTCTGAAACGTGGAAAACTCACAACAACCCAGAGAGAAATTATTTCTTTTTCCACAGATATATAAACCCCACTTGCCCAGTTTCCAAAGGCTTCACAAACAACCTCTGAGGATGCCTGCCATAGATGCAGGCGAAACGTCAGGAGAGAATGCTACTGGAGCATGGTCGTGACGCCTGGAAGACTCACAGCAACGCAGTGATTCCGGCCATGAAAGCCTTCGACGGCACAGGAAAGAGAGTCTTGCTGAACTAGTGGTAGCAGTGAATGGATTCCAGGCAGAGAAGCCACTCAGGTCGTCTCACTTACGGTTGGCGACTCCTTTGCGCTCAGCAGGAACTCTGTCGGCAGCAACGCAAGGCGAGCAGCAGCTGTACCCACAACTCACAATTTGTGAAGGAGTGGCAAGGGAAGGGCCACGGCAGAGACCCCCCTGCCCAAGGCAGAGCCAGAGGAGGAGCTTGGCAGGGGCCGGGGGGGCCGGGGGGGAGGCACGAGGGAGGAAGGGCTCCCAAGGAAGAGTGCCACTGCCATCCTTGCGCTCCTCTTTCGGAGGGAACGTGGTGCGCCACCACTTGCTGCTCTTGCCACGCCAAGTTTGCACCCTCGCAAAGCCTGGCACAGAGCCAGCAGAGACCCCAAGAGCCACCCCATCCAAAGACCCACAAGCAAAGCAACCCTGACCCCACGGCAGAAAAGAAACACAACTGGGAGGATGTGGCAGCCCAGTGACACCGATGCCCATGGGTCAGCCGGAGTGTGGGAGTTGGGTTGACACACAACTCTACTACTCTTTTCCACCCCATATTTCAGTGGTTCCCAACCTTTTTTTTTTATGATCAGGGACCACTCTCCAACATGATTACCAAAAGCGTTACGAATCAGTTTTTGGTCAACTTTAGATTCGGTTTGTTTATTTGGGGTGCGGATTCAAAAAATTTCATTGCATAGACCACATCAGCTCCGGTTTCTGATACAGAACATATGCCATCCAGTAGTCATGGGCCACTTGATCAGGGAACATTTTAACCAGTGACCACTTTGATCAGAGATCTCTTTGATCGGAGACCTCTTTGACCAGGGACCACTTTGACCAGAGACCACTTTGACCAAGGACCACTTTGACCAGAGACGACTTTGACCAGGGACCACATTGACCAGGGACCACTTTGACCAGGGACCACTTTGACCAAGGACCACTTTGACCAGGGACCACTTTGATTAGAGACCACTTTGACCAGAGACCACTTTGACCAGGGACCACTTTGACCAGGTACCACTTTGACCAGGGACCACTTTGACCAGGGACCACTTTGACCAGGGACCACTTTGACCAGGGACCACTTTGACCAGGGACCACTTTGACCAGGGACCTTTGACCAGGGACCACTTTGACCAGGGACCACTTTGACCAGGGACCACTTGGACCAAGGACCACTTTGACCAAGGACCACTTTGACCAGGGACCACTTTGATTAGAGACCACTTTGACCAGAGACCACTTTGACCAGGGACCACTTTGACCAGGTACCACTTTGACCAGGGACCACTTTGACCAGGTACCACTTTGACCAGGGACCACTATGACCAGGGACCACTTTGACCAGAGACCACTTTGACCAGGGACCACTTTGACCAGGGACCACTTTGACCAGAGACGACTTTGACCAGGGACCACATTGACCAGGGACTACTTTGACTAGGGACCACTTTGACCAGGTACCACTTTGACCAGGTACCACTTTGACCAGGGACCACTATGACCAGGGACCACTTTGACCAGAGACCACTTTGACCAGGGACCACTTTGATCAGAGACCACTTTGACCAGGGGCCACTTTGACCAGGGACCACTTTGAATAGAGACCACTTTGACCAGAGACCACTTTGACCAGGGACCTCTTTGACCAGAGACCACTATGATCAGGGACCTTTTTGACCAAGGACCACTTTGACCAGGGACCACTTTGACCAGGGACCACTTGACCAGGGACCACTTTGACCAAGGACCACTTTGACCAAGGACCACTTTGACCAGGGACCACTTTGATTAGAGACCACTTTGACCAGAGACCACTTTGACCAGGGACCACTTTGACCAGGTACCACTTTGACCAGGGACCACTATGACCAGGGACCACTATGACCAGGGACCACTTTGACCAGGGACCACTTTGACCAGGGACTACTTTGACCAGAGACGACTTTGACCAGGGACCACATTGACCAGGGACTACTTTGACTAGGGACCACTTTAACCAAGGACCACTTTGACCAGGTACCACTTTGACCAGGGACCACTTTGATCAGAGACCACTTTGACCAGGGGCCACTTTGACCAGGGACCACTTTGACCAGGGACCACTTTGACCAGGGACCACTTTGACCAGGGACCACTTTGACCAGGGACCACTTGACCAGGGACCACTTGACCAGGGACCACTTTGACCAGGGACCACTTTGACCAGGGACCACTTGACCAGGGACCACTTTGACCAGGGACCACTTTGACCAGGGACCACTTTGACCAGGGACCACTTTGACCAGGGACCACTTTGACCAAGGACCACTTTGACCAAGGACCACTTTGACCAGGGACCACTTTGATTAGAGACCACTTTGACCAGAGACCACTTTGACCAGGGACCACTTTGACCAGGTACCACTTTGACCAGGGACCACTATGACCAGGGACCACTTTGACCAGGGACCACTTTGACCAAGGACCACTTTGACCAGGGACCACTTTGACCAGGGACCACTTTGACCAGGACCACTTTGACCAAGGACCACTTTGACCAAGGACCACTTTGACCAGGGACCACTTTGACCAGGACCACTTTGACCAGAGACCACTTGACCAGGGACCACTTTGACCAGGGACCACTTTGACCAGGGACCACTTTGACCAGGGACCACTTTGACCAGGGACCACTTGACCAGGGACCACTTGACCAGGGACCACTTGACCAGGGACCACTTTGACCAGGGACCACTTTGACCAGAGACGACTTTGACCAGGGACCACATTGACCAGGGACTACTTTGACTAGGGACCACTTTGACCAAGGACCACTTTGACCAGGTACCACTTTGACCAGGGACCACTTTGACCAGGTACCACTTTGACCAGGGACCACTTGACCAGGGACCACTTTGACCAGAGACCACTTTGACCAGGGACCACTTTGATCAGAGACCACTTTGACCAGGGGCCACTTTGACCAGGGACCACTTTGAATAGAGACCACTTTGACCAGAGACCACTTTAACCAGGGACCTCTTTGACCAGAGACCACTATGATCAGGGACCACTTTGACCAGAGACCACTTTGACCAGGGACCACTTTGACCAGGGACCACATTGACCAGGGACCACTTTGACCAAGGACCACTTTGACCAAGGACCACTTTGACCAGGGACCACTTTGATTAGAGACCACTTTGACCAGAGACCACTTTGACCAGGGACCACTTTGACCAGGTACCACTTTGACCAGGGACCACTATGACCAGGGACCACTATGACCAGGGACCACTTTGACCAGGGACCACTTTGACCAGGGACTACTTTGACCAGAGACGACTTTGACCAGGGACCACATTGACCAGGGACTACTTTGACTAGGGACCACTTTAACCAAGGACCACTTTGACCAGGTACCACTTTGACCAGGGACCACTTTGATCAGAGACCACTTTGACCAGGGGCCACTTTGACCAGGGACCACTTTGAATAGAGACCACTTTGACCAGAGACCACTTTGACCAGGGACCTCTTTGACCAGGAGACCACTTTGACCAGAGACCACTTTGACCAGGGACCACTTTGACCAGGGACCACTTTGACCAGGGACCACTTTGACCAGAGACCACTTTGACCAGGGACCACTTTGACCAGGGACCACTTTGACCAGGGACCACTATGACCAGTATACCACTATGACCAGGGACCACTTTGACCAGGGACCACTTTGACCAGGGACTACTTTGACCAGAGACGACTTTGACCAGGGACCACATTGACCAGGGACTACTTTGACTAGGGACCACTTTAACCAAGGACCACTTTGACCAGGTACCACTTTGACCAGGGACCACTTTGATCAGAGACCACTTTGACCAGGGGCCACTTTGACCAGGGACCACTTTGAATAGAGACCACTTTGACCAGAGACCACTTTGACCAGGGACCTCTTTGACCAGAGACCACTATGATCAGGGACCACTTTGACCAGAGACCACTTTGACCAGGGACCACTTTGACCAGGGACCACTTTGACCAGAGACCACTTTGACCAGGGACCACTTTGACCAGGGACCACTTTGACCAGAGGACCACTTTGACCAAGGACCACTTTGACCAGGGACCACTTTGATTAGAGACCACTTTGACCAGAGACCACTTTGACCAGGGACCACTTTGACCAGGTACCACTTTGACCAGGGACCACTATGACCAGGATACCACTATGACCAGGGACCACTTTGACCAGGGACCACTTTGACCAGGGACTACTTTGACCAGAGACGACTTTGACCAGGGACCACATTGACCAGGGACTACTTTGACTAGGGACCACTTTAACCAAGGACCACTTTGACCAGGTACCACTTTGACCAGGGACCACTTTGATCAGAGACCACTTTGACCAGGGGCCACTTTGACCAGGGACCACTTTGAATAGGGACCACTTTGACCAGAGACCACTTTGACCAAGGACCACTTTGACCAGGGACCACTTTGACCAGAGACCACTTTGACCAGGGACCACTTTGACCAGGGACCACTTTGACCAGGGACCACTTTGACCAGGGACCACTTTGATCAGAGACCTCTTTGACCAGAGACCACTTTGACCAGGGACCACTTTGACCAGAGACCACTTTGACCAGAGACCACTTTGACCAGGGACCACTCTCCAACATTAGTCCCAAAAGGGTTACGAATCAGTTTTTGGTCAAGTTTAGATTCAGTTTGTTGGTACAACATCAGCTCTAGTTTCTGATACAGAACATTTGCCATCCAGTAGTCGCCATCTGCTCACGCACAGAAAACCATACTTAGTAATCTCGAACTATGTGGTTTATCCATGGGGGAAGGGCTGGAACCTGTTTGTGAAAAGCTTTTAAGTGATCAGTGGAAGATTCAAACTGATTTACTACTAGGGTTGAATGAAAAGTAATGCCTCCACCTTCGTAACTCCTCAACAGATGGCAGTACTGGTATGCGGCAGGTACTGGCTTGTTCAGTAGACTCTCCTCTACAGTTCCATTTTGGCAGGAAGCCTTAGCATTAAACGGTTGTGTTGTTAAAGTGCAAAGTATGGAACCCTGCGCAGACAGTCGGTCAATGCGACTTAAGCAACGTGCAGTCATTGAATTCTTGACAGAAGGTGTCACCCCAAAGGAGATTCATCAGAGAATGCAAGCTGTTTGTGGTGATTGTGTTGATGTGAGTACTGTGTGTCGTTGGGCAAGTAAGTTTAAAGATGTTGAGGTGGGAACATCTGACTTGTGTGACAAACAAAGAGTTGGACGTCCTGTGACAGCAACCACCGAGGTTCACAAGCAAAAGGTTGACAGATTGATTCAGGATGATCGTCATATCACTCAGAGAGAAATTTCAAGCATAATCGGCATTTCACAAGAACGTGTGGGT